ATTATATAGCAATACTCCAGAAGGATGATTAATAATTCAGGAAAACTGCTTCTTGCATTACATAAAGGAATGTACCATATTTATGGTGTCTATAAACATGTAAAAGTATAATATTTTAAAACGCAGCACGTTTCAACACTCTTTATCACGTTTCAGAACTCTTAAAAGACATCAACTGAAAGAACGCAGTTTCTAGGATACTTACTTTGAATAATATTTGATTTTTTCGATTTAGACAGGTTTACGAATTCCCAAGTCGCAAATTTATCCAGATAGAAAAAAGAATTGTCTACAAAAATTACCGTGGCTAGGGAAATAATCTCGATGAATAAATTTTATACTTAAATTATTACACTCAAAAGCAATTAAAAACGAAAAAGTGAAAGTGAAAACGAGTTAAAAGGAGTTGGATTTACTGAATTACAGCAAAGTACTAAACTTATCTATCTTAGGGAAGGAATGCTTTTATGGAGTATTTCCTAAAAAAAACTCGTACTGACGTTATACGTATGGAGGAGCAAGAAAATGTCCCGGATTGAGTGGATTAGAGGTTCCGATGCGACTTCCATGCTAGAATGATAAATAAGTCCAGGATGTCCATACATTTTAGAGATCAAATACCTTCTGGCGACAGTTTTTACACTAAATTAAGTGCCATATTAAATTCCTAGGAAGCCTTATTTTAGTTTCGTACGCATATCAAATGCGTCGCCTACAACGCAAAAATACGTATTTTTTACTAATTTCATAGTTGACTTATAGACACCATTTTTGTGATATAGTACGGTGCAGGGTAAGTTTCATGATTATAATTACCTTATTAACATATTTACTGTTTTATAAATTTAATTAATTTCGCTGAATTGTGCAATATTATCACGATTTGCGACAGAAAACAGACTGTAAGTTTCTAACTGCATGAATAATTTCTGCCACTTTAATGAAATAAATTAATCACGTAATTATCCTTTTGCGAGTGAATTCCAAGCATGCAAATGAAATTTTGATTTAAAAGGAACTGATTCATTTTATCACTTTTATGTCCTGTAGCGATTGTATTCTATGAATTAACATAAAATTTCGCTTTTACCTGGAACTAATTACTTACTTTTTATTCTTCTTTTGCGTTAAGATGTTTTCATGCTTTAATTTTGGTTTGACGTTTTTAAAATTTAATATTTTATAAAGTTAAAATTTTAATTAGGTTTTCCGAATGAACTCGGCTTTGTTATTAGCTATTTAACAATTTTCTACGGCTTAAAAGTTTAATTTTAGCTTCATTAAGGAAGTCATGATTTTAATTATAATTTTTTTTCTTCGCAATCTGAATTCTTCAACGATTCATAAGAGAACTTATTTCAGCATTCTGACCGAAAATGAAATCCCAATATCAAAAAGGAGTTGTGTTAAATAAACGAAATTTAGGAAGCGTGTTTGCATATCTGAAAGGTAAGGTCTGCATATCTCTAGCTATGAACATACAATCCCGTTTGATTTAAATACACGATGTAAACTTCATGTACTTTATTTATTTTTCGACGTTCGGGTTAGCGTTGTGAGCGAGATCTGAGTCAAGAATACCTTTAATGAGACAAAAGTAGTGTCAGCAGCTTACGGAGTTTGAACTGTAACATATATACTATATATAATATTGTTTGTATAACAGATCTACGAGAAGGTGGATTTTCTTTGAAAGGCACTATGAAAGGGACAAGGAGAGACAGACACTCCATGCACAAACACACACACATATGTATATATGTAATACGATTACTTGGAGTTAAGCTGCAACAGACTGACGATAGTCTTCGGATCCCGGAAAAGGCCATGGATGTTTGTAAATGCATAGTGTCTGCGCGGCATGGGGGCACTCAAAATATACGGTGAGCTGAAAATCTCTTGAGTGGTCTAGCGGTAGGATAAAATGGGTGGCTGACTCTCAGACTTCTCTCCCAGGGTGCTCTCCTTCAACGTTGTGACAGAATTGGGCAATGTTGAAAAAATGGTACCAACGACAGGTGCAGTCTTGTTCTCCTTGTCATTATAAAACTCATGGACTCGTTCAGATCAAGTCAGAAAAGTGACATTGGCCGCAGAAGCAATAACAACAGAAGTAGTTAAGGCATGACAGGTCTGGCGATAAAGCAGTCCACAGCACCGGGCTCTCATGCCCGATTCCCTCTTAGGCAAACGTAAAGTGGCCCTGTTTACCAGATGCATATTGCAAATTGACTAAATTCGGGTCCGTATAATTGCACGTACTACCTCTACGTTAAGGAGTAAAATAAACCTACCCTGAAAGAATGCCCGGGCGATTGCCATCTACCGTGACAGGAAGGCAGTTTCAACTTTAGATTTCTGTGCGATATTAAGTCAATCTGAATACACCCTGCTCTTCCTACATGTTTATATCCCCGGTACTGAAACATACTGTATTCTTTAAACTCCTATGAAATATGTTTCGATGATATTTAAGGAATGAAATGGAAACTATATTTTCAGTTTTATTCCTTACATTTTACGTATGCACTTTTATCATTGATGAAGACTACTGTCAAAAAAGGGATTATGATGTCTGGTGTCCTTCCAGGCTTGAAATACTATTCGTAATGATATATCCCTCAGCCGGATATGTCTTGAATGTGGGAAAATAGGCTATTTTTATTACCTTTTGCATTGGTAAAGAAGGCAGACAAAGCTGAACTTTGCCCAAAACTCAATTTCAAAGCCAACTCTTGAACCTACAATTTGAAGTCTGCAAAGACCGACAATGTACACCGCACATTTAGGCTGTTTGTTCCCACCAAACTATCAGAGTTAGCACCCAACTGATTTGGAAATTATGCAGCGAATATTTTACTGACTTTTTAATTCTATAAGCTAAACATGTGAGCCCTTCGCTGATCGTATTCTGCCTTTCTCCTAAACCATTTTCTGCTTGGGGAAATTGAAAGAACATTACATTTGGGACTAATATTTAACAGAATTTAAGAAACTTTTAAAATTTATAATATGACACTTGCTCTCTACCTCACTGTAATATACTACTAGTATATTCGGGATGCTTATAATCCAGTTCTTCGAAGGCGGTTACTTCTTCATTAACATGGTGGTAACTGTAGGGTTATTTTTACTATAACATTTGGTATGTGTGACTTATGAATGCAAATGATCCACGTTAGCTGTTCCCTATGAAAAATAATTCTCAGTAATCTCCATTAAAGTGCCACGGGATCATAAAGATGAAGACTTTTGAGCAAGTATTTTCTACAGGACTCAGCTTGCTGATTAATATGGTGGAAGATGGCAATCTTATAGGATGTCAAGGATATCTGAGTTAGTATAGATTTATTAATTACAGCAAAGCAGACGAGCGCTGCCTATCTATAAGAAAGAAGTGACTTTTCAAAGATATCAAGACGCATTATTATTACACATCATTAAAAAGGAAAAGCATGCATACTTAAAAAGCAGTCACGAGTTAATAATTAATCTTTCCCAGCGTCAAGTAGAATTTGTACTTTAACATGCACAATAAGTTAAAATAACTTTAGGTAGCAAAATAACAGTGAAACTTTTTAACATTAGTTTTTTAAAACTTTTTAACTAAACGAATGCAGGAAATGACGTAAAAATAGAGAAAAGATAAAATTTTTATTTTATTCTATTTGTTCCATCACATCGTTTTACTCAACCAAAGAATAGTTAGCAACATTAAGTATGCTTTGATGAACATTGCTTAAATTATAAATTTTCATACACGCTTCCTGATTATCACTACATAATTTTGTGAAGCTCGTGCAAATCGCTAAATTTACTCACTTATTAATTTTTTTAAAATTAAATACTGTAGAGACATTAGAAGTTTTTGGAAGGAGTCATAATAAATGAGCAATGCTCTCGAACCTCGGACCTTTCGAATTACACCATGAAGGCATGCTAAGATGGAGGGTGAAATACCTTATATACTCCCCCTCTTAAAGGGAGACTGGGGATTAGGGGACCCAATCGCCAAATCCTGGTGGTAGAGAATCATCATCCGCCACCTTTTTTCGTTCGGGCGTCACTGTAGAGATATTAGAATTTTTGATGCTCAGAGACGTGGAAAATGAGCTCGTACCTCTCAAATACGCGCCATGTGTACTAACCACTACACCACGAAGGCATACTAAGAAGGCGGGAGAAATACTGTATAACATTTATATCTTAAGTTTTCATACAATTTCCAAAGTATAGTTAAAATCTCTTACCACGGGATCACGCGTAAGACAAACTGATGAGTAAATAGTTCCCTAATTACGAATGTAGCTTACTCTATTCACGAAAGATGCAGGAAAATCCCGACAATATGCAGAAAAATAAGCTGCAGTGGTCTGAGTGAGATTCATAATTCATATTCCCATAATATCAGCGTTAAGTTTAAGTGCACAGTTTTTCAAAACTGAAGTTGTACCTAGATACATAGAGCTACGAAGATTCTTGTGACAAACTCCACACTTGAACTTACTTAGATTACCGAAATCAGACACTCTTCAAATGGAAACGCATATCCTACCAGATAAATTGTTTTATCAACTGCTTTAACTGAACACTAAGAATTCTTTGTTACAGGAAACTTAATGAAAATTTATATCTTCTTTTGTACAGTTAAAAACCATCTCTATGACGTCTCTTCAAAACCATACTCATGATCTTCCTGATGAAATATTGGATAGGTGCGAAGCGGGTGGTATTGGGCTGCAGTAATGCACTTCATTAGGAAATTCAAAATTAATAATACTAGTTATTTCACCAGTAAAAGTCACTCACTGAGAGAATAAAAAAAACATTTTCATCCATTTCTAGATGTTCTTCAATATAAGTATTATCATGAAACCTAATTATGTTGAAATGAGCCTATAAGGCTCACAAACACTGTTTGGTAAGTGTTGTTCTTCCAGCTACTGAATGTTTTATACTTTATTAGCAAGAAATTACGTAATAAGCCGAATCATACTTACTGAAATTCAACCTCATCTGCGCTGCTGCTAATCTTAAAATGCTGACTTTGTCTAATGGTTTGGATGCATTGGCAATCATAGGAACAAGTGTCGCCAATTCTGAAATGTAACCATTTAACCTATCCCGCCTTTGCTTTTCTGCCTGGTTTCTTTGCAATCGTGTGGAAGCACTGTAATGAAAATAATATAATATAAATACTTTACGAAATCTCTAACATATATACAGAAATTATAATTCGTCAAGAAGAGTTCAGTTTGTTTCTTAAACAGATGTTGAATACTTAAATAACAAATTACCCAGATTTGACTTACAATTAAAACAGTAATAAAAATAGGAAGAGATAAAAGCGATCGAGTTAGTTTTAAAATTTTATTCTTTTATATTTTAACAAGAAACTACAAGAGATCTCCCATAAATACTCAACGAAAAAATATAAAAACAACATTACTTGTATTTGTTCCCTAAATGACAAAATCAACGGATTGGTTTTAAAACCCATGATGGATGGAGTAGCTGTTTAACCGAATTCAACACATAAGAGTACTGTTTGAGTGCACTTAATCTATCTTAGTAAAGAAGCATGCTAATCGTATTTACAAAGTACACTGGTATTAGGATTTTTCTAATTGTTTAAATTTTATGCCAAAATTTAATAATAAAAATACATATACCCAAAAGGACGTCATTTTATATTCTCTTGAACATTCATTTCAATATTTTGCGTAAAAAGTGCATCGCAAAAATAATGTAATGTACCATTAATGGTACAGGTATTACATTTAAATGGAAGGGAAAACCTGCCATCATGGAAAGGGATGATTTCGTACAAAACTTTCTAAGATAAATTGGACTTTACGAGTATTAAAAAATGAACAGAAGGAAAAATATATTGGGTCATATAAAATGTATCCGCAGTTTTTTGCCACTCGATGGTGTTGATACCTATATAAGCGGCAACATTCACCCGATTGTCTGCAACGAACATGTGCTTAAACGGTGACATTCAGTTTCCACTGTTTGTGAAACTAGCTTTCCGCTTCGTTGCTCGCGTAAAACGTTATACTGATTTGAAAATGAGTGAAATACAGGAAGAAATACGCTATGTGATGCGTTTTTACTATGAAAAAGGTCAAAACGCTGGAAAAACATGCCGAAAAATTTGTGACGTGTACGGTAAGAATAATGTAAGTGAGTGAAGGACCCAGGAGTGGTTTCCTCAATTCCGTTCCGGAAATTTCGATGTCAAATATGCAACTTGCTCTGGTCGGCCAGTCGCTGAAATTTTGCAGCTGGTGGAGCAAGACCGGCACGCAAGTTCTCAGGAAATAGTGGGGGCCTTAAACGTCGACCACATGATAGTTTGGAAGTATTTGAACACAGGAAGATATAAAAACAAACTCGATGTTTGGGTGCCACACGACGAACTGTCCATTATGATCTGCTGCAAAACCATCAATTCGGCCCTGCACTGTGAACCAGGCAACCCATCAATTCGGCCCTGTACTGTGAACAACTCGACTATTTGAACGAAGCAATCCAGAAAGAGCGACCAGAATTGGCCAATAGAAAGGGAGTTGTGTTCCATCATGACAATGCGAGGCAACACACATCTTTGATGAAATTGACGGAACTTGGTTGGGAAGTTTTGATGCATCCTCGGACCTTGCTCCGTCTATCATTTATTTCAGTTTCTGCAAATCTCTCTTGAAGGTAAAAAATTGGTAGAACGAAGCACCGCTGAAAATCACTTGGCCAAGTTTTACGACGATAAACCACAGAAATTCTACACCAATGGAATTATGAAGTTACCCGAAAGATGGCAAAAGGTCATAGATAATACTTGTTAATACTGCATTAAAACTGATTTTCAATAACGAAAATGTTTGTTCAAAAATGTACCAAAAAACCGCGGACACGTTTATGTGGCCCAATATACCTCTGCAATTACTTTGTTCCCTAGGATTTAAAACTCATAAGAAACTTTGGGGTTTCAGTGGTCTCATTAATTCAGTCATGTACATGGCACAAAACAGATGTGAAACTGAACCAAGAATGTATACGACGGCGCACAAAATGACATGTTGAAAAAAAGATGATGGAAGCAAAAAGTTCGGCTGGATGTTGAATGTCACACTGCTATGTCAGACAACAGAAAATAGGTCATACATAAAGTTAGAACATTTCACCATCATTAAATGGCACAGAGAAGAATGAATCTGAACCACATCAACAAGCGAAAATATTAAACAGAATTTCTGTTTACTTTATTTTCAATAAAATATAATGCAAGACTATTTCTGAAAATAAATAAATAAATAAATAAATAAATAAATAAATAAATAAAATAAAATTGGATTCTTTTTCTTATTGGGACTGAAATTAAAATTTGTGAAAACAGAAAGCGATTTCATAATTTTTCTAGCAAAATGATTTTTCACTTTAGACCAACATTTTCTGCTGTAATATAATATCGTATCTGCCGTAAGGAGGACAGACTGAATTTTGATCACTTGTTTTATTCTCCGATAAATTAGCCATCAATAAATTAAAATCAACTCGTGTTCCTAAAAAAGATGCAGTTCACTAAGCAACCTTTATTAGACAGCAGTAACATATAGCGTACTACTCCAACAAGTATTACATAAGACACTGCTGGCCAGCCATTAAAACTGTTACACCATAAAGGCGGCATGCAATATATGTCAAATGTGCACGAAAGGCACTGCATTATGGGATACGCAAATGAACAGCATTCCAGCAAATTCGAAAAAGGAGATATAAGTAACACCATCTATAAAGAAGAAGATTTCACAGATGGTTAGTCATATCAAAATGGCGTTTGAAGAGATTTTTTTTTATGCGTAAAGGTTGTAGAGATATTATGATTATTTGGAAGCAGAAGGCTTGAAAAATGAGCAATGCCCTCGCCGGGACTCAAACCACGGACCTCTCGGATAGGCGTCGAGCGTGCTGACCACTACACCAGAAAGGTATGCTAAGAAGGAGGGAGAAATATCTTATAAGCTCATGTTATGAATCGCGTAAGGAGGAGAAATTCTAATCAATACATGACGAAATTCGACTGCGGCAGGATCGCGGATCCTATCGGGACTGCGGATCATGGTTACATCGATGAGTGTATCGATGTAACCATGTGTTACCATGTGTGAGTGTTACATCGATACACAGAGTGTTCGATTATTGTTATACTAGCATTTTCTTCAGATCTCTCACTCACGGATAACATCTGGTTATAGTTAGTCGAGAGACTAATACGCCACCACACGCCACGATTGATGAGATACTGAGATTAAGCCGCATGGAATGAAGAACCCGTTCTTGTCATCTAATCTCATCTCAACTAGATGCTCAGCCGGATTAAAGTAGTTCTCGGATTAATTCAGTACACAGAGCTGCCAGAGGTGGAAGCTCTGTGTACCGAATTCTGTAACTTAAACTACCTGCAAATTTAATAATGCCTTCCTCCCATTATTACTATTTATATGCAATAAATATGACACTGCTATTTGTTTTTCTTCCTGGTGTCGCAGTCTGAATAGCCTGCAATGTAATTTTCGTTTCGACGAAGTTAACTAAGCAATTATCACACATTTTGTCACTTATAGAATTAACAAAACAGTGAATAATCGTAGTGCACTGTGTCCAATGGCAATAAGAAACCTCTTTTGCTTTGCTTCGAAAAGAACAATGTTTCTGAAAACTGATCTGTAACAAAGTGTATTCTTCATTGAAAAGTGGCAAATTTCCAAAATGTAAATAAAAATTAACTATTGTAAAGAAATAAGATAATCGCAAGGAAATTACCTGAAATATTTCTGTGTCAAGAGATTCTCATCTCATCAAGCAAATCGTGAAGAAAAGAAAGGATTGCATTACTTAACTCTAAGAAAATAAACGACGGCTATATATGCCCAGAATGAGTTCGAGGAGGGCGTTCTACGGAAAGCTGATCGAAATATAAGCCATACATAGAGAAAACTACGAAATTCCGCTAGAACTAGACCATTAAGCTTAAGAAGAACGGAACCTAAAGTGAATTACCAGTGTTTGTCGGCTTCAACCGTTTTTCCCTCGATAAACCACTAGGGCGGAAAGCTAGTTTGATAATTTAATTCAGAAAGCAAGTCAGTTAAAACAAGTTCAAATCCTGAAGCAGAATTTACAATATATTTCCAAATAAGGTTATTACATAAGCGTACAAACAGCTGCAAAAAGACATATATTGCTAAAAAAATTATTTCAAAGACATTCATATTTCGTCATATATCTGTAGTATAAATTATTAAAAATTTATTAAGAATTCCCTAGTTTTCTTAGTTTCCCAAGTCTAAAGAAATAAATAGATTTATTAATTACCATAAAGCGATATTTAGCCATCACAAATTTCCGTGGCGTAAATAAAAACTACCAAGTTGTTCAGAGAGAGAAGCAAAAAAAGTAGTGTATTCTTATAAATTAGCTTGGTGAGCGGACGGAAGCCAATAAAATTGCTGAAGAACATATACAATATCGTTTTCAACAGCTTTCTACTTTCGTTGCATGATACTATTTCGAGCGCTGACGTCAAACGTTAGTTCCCATGACAACAGCTAATCATCAAACTGTTAGATTTTGACCACAGGATAAGACATTCAAGTATGAGATTTTTAACGGCACAGAAACAGGCCATTTCCAGACAGAAACCGAGATTATGCTGAGTACTTTTAGCATGAATTTGGTTTCTGAATTTTATTAATTAGCTATATAAACAGTAAAATTCAGAAAAACTACATTTTATATTTGAGTTTGAGTAACATACCAAATTTAGCTACATGCTCATAGCAGCCATCACTAAGTTTATCCAATAATTAGTGAAAACTGCTGTCATGAATAATGACACCTATTCTGTCCGCGTAACGCAGATTGTAATATTAATTGCTCTTCGCATGTGATAAGGAACACATCTACATAAAAATAATATAAATAAATAAATAAATTTTAAAAAATAGTAATTTTTTTAAAACAATTATTAGGACTGCAATCCCGACCCTTCCCCACAGGGAACAGGACTCTCCAACAAACTTGGGAGCGGAACTGAGTTAAATCGAACTTGTAAGGTGCTCAAGGCTGTTACCAATGAGAGGCGTATCTTGCCCTCCTTGCCACGAAATATTTCGTGGACTTGTTCTGATGTTACTGTCACAACAACACTGTTCGACTGACGTTAACAGCATCCCCATAAAACAGTATCAAACGCTTCCTAATAAAAATAAACATTTTTTGATTTATAAACATTTAATCCATGTCTTTTAGGCTAACGCTGAAGATACACACAGCGCAGAAATTTACATGGATCGCTTTTAAAACTATTGCAGAATTTATTTATTTATTTAGGACGTAGTCCTGCCCGCCTAACGAGAACTATTGCAGAATATGCAAACGTCAGAGAAAGCTAAACTTTTGATAAAGGTTGACTCCCAGTAATTATTAAAAAATAATTGCAATACAACACAATTTGGCAGGTTTATTTGATTATCATAGTATACAAAACATATCTCACCTCGGTTGAGCAGATATCTTACAACGAGCTGGTTGAGCTTTTGCTCTTTCATTATTTTCGGATTTGGAAACACCCGATGCTGTGCTCATATTCGTCGATTCTCACAACAGCTAAAACAAAAGAAAAAATTAAGGTTTCACAAATGCTTTCTTCTTTAAACTGAAAAATGTATTACATTTCCTAAATTTCTAACACTTAGAAAACTCATGTATTAAATATGTACAATTCGATGTAACTCCTTCAAAATTCCAAAATGCAAGTATGGAGTTTTGTGAAGAATGGTACAACATTTAACACAGGGTTACCATGGAAACATATTCACAAAAATCCAAAATAAAATTTATTAATATCTGGTAATTAAAAAATTAAACATACAGCAATATAAAATCTTAATGTAGTTTTAGAATAAAGCGATATGCTATATACAAAAAATATACAGTAATGTTGAAAGAAGAAAAATATTTACTAAAGATACTGAGAAAAATCATTAGTTTTAACATATTTAATATAATTATAAATGCAACACAGATGATAGTGCCACCTGAAAGTAAATGATGGTAAGCAGGTTGTTTTTTATTGTATTTGGATATGTAAAGTTTTAAATATAGTTTGTAATACATCGCCTACAACTATTTGCATTAGGCGAATACTAAAATGCTAATAAATAGTAAATACAAGGGAGGTTAGTACATTTAAAGGTATAAATCATATGCATAATAATAAAACACAGTTTAAGAATTTATAAATCTCAAATATAAATCAAATGCACTTAGAAAGCTCATAGTCTATTACATCAAGATTCAAGAAAAGCATGTATTAGCAATTAATTACTTCCTTTATTCAAAACATTCAAAACAAGATACGGAGATCTTGTTTCAGTAATTCCATATTTCTTCCATTCATTTATTATCTTCTTTATAGAAGCACGCTCTTCGGCATTGGTTTTATAAGACTTCATGCAAATAGGCTTATTCCCTTCAATTTCTTTAATATCCATTTTTATTAAATTTGTACACCCTAATTCCTGCATATTAAATGCAAAACAATCTCATTTATCAAATATACTCATTTATCTATCAAATATAAAACTTCCTTTTTCTCTCTGGCATAATATTGTTATTAACTTTAATTTCTTCTAAAGTAATCGGTCTCTTAAACGTCTTAATTTCATTTATTATCATTATTTCCTTTTGATTTGAATTTTCAGTTTTTTGATCTGAACTTGGTTCAACTAATTCTGCTACTTCCGTTCTCCCGATACATTAATTCTCTTTCAAAATTAATTTTCGATGGCTGTAGTTAGTGACTAGTATCACTGTTTCTCCCTGTATTACTTCCAATAATGAGCCCAACTCATCTTCCGAGCCACTTATTAAAACATAATCGTTATTTATTTCATCAGTTTTAACTTTCACGAAATTAACCGTATTACTTCCGATTTGAGTTTCTTGGGAAACCTTCAGTTTAATTCGCGGAGTGTTCCTATCATTGCTCAACTAGAAACATAACAGTATTTCCTTTATTGATAAGTAGTGTGCTAGCACCGACTGAAATACACTGCCCACCAAAGGTTAAGGAACAGCATGTTTTTTTTGTGTGTCTAATTTGAGAGTAAAGCAACACAGAAACCAGAAATACGCAGGACATGTTCAATAAACAGTTCTTTAATAATGCGACATAGAATATTTCTAAAGTTCAACACAAATATGAATTACAGCAAAACATTGCATTCTTGGCAGAGAAATCCAGTTTTGGAGAAACAGTATATCACAGTTTTTTGAGGAAACACGATGGGGGGGGGGGATAACATTACAAAAATGTGTTCGAATAAGGAATTTGTCCGCCACTAGCTCCAATATATTGGCGGCAGTGACGTTCCATGCTGTCAATTAACGGGTTCCCAAAAATGACTGATGGATTGTGTAAATCAATAAAAAATTTAAAAAAAGACGGAATGCGATAGATATGTATCTTTTGCAGCCTTATGCTCAGGAAATCGGGGAACTTTACCCCACCAAATTTCAAATTTAGTTAACGTTTTCACCCACAGGTGGCGCTGAAAACTATGAACAAATAAAAACCGGTATGAAACTTTTGCAAGGACTGTTGCAAAAAACTAAACAAAGACACTTTCAATGTAACTCCTATTTGCTACAACAACGTGGCGCAGTCTCAGGCAAAAATTTCCAAAAATCCGTTCAAACATGTCACTTGTCAATTGTCTCACATGCAGTACAGATGTGCGCTTCAGCTCCGCAATTGTTTGTGGAGTTTGGCGGTATACCACATCTTTCAGGTACCCCGAAAGAAAAAACGTCGCAGGGCGTCAAGTCTGGCGAATAAGGAGGCCATGCCATGCCACTTCCTGCATGAATGTCATAATCCAAGGCAGCTCACTGAAATGTTCTTTCAAGAAATCAAATACTGCAGACGTCCGATGTGGACGAGCACCATCTTGCATGAACAAGAGGCATTCGAGCGGTCCTCCAAAGCACTATGAATCGCCACAAATTCTTCCAGAATCGCAAGATATCGTACAGCATTTATAGGTTGCTCTCGAAAAAATGGTCCTATTATTCCTTTAGAGGAAACCGCAGCCCATACCATTATTTTTGGTGAATGAAGTGATGAAGGTTCAGCAATATGAGGATTTTCGCTTTCCCAAATTCGCGAGTTCTGCTTGTTGACATAGCCATCGAGGTGAAAATACGCTTTGTCTGAGAACTATATGTTGATAACATCGAGTTCACCGTCATCCACAGGTTTCAGCATGGTAACTTGACAACGAACTACGGAATGGCAAGCTGAAATACTTCGTTTTAACTATACCTGTTACAGATAGCCTGCAGCACCACCTGTGGGTGAAAACGTTAACTAAATTTGAAATTTGGTGGGATAAAATTCCCTGATTTCCTAAGCATAAGGCTGCAAACGATACATATCGATCGCATTCCGTCTGTTTTTTATTGATTTACAAAATCCATCAGTCATTTTTGGGACACCCGGTAAGTTGCCGTTCAGTGAAATGGGAAGCAACGACCAGACAAGGAGTCATCTTACGGCCCTGGAGGAGGAAAAAGTAGGAACCCGTCTCCCAAGGTAGTCCCAAATATGCACTAGCGGATTCAGGTCTGGGGATTGAGCTGGCCATTCTATTCGCTCCATACCGTGACTCTCAAGATAATTCTTCAGCAACTCGAGCTCGGTTGCGGTCCCGCATTGTCGTCCATCAGAAGAAATGCAGGACCAATAACAGCGGCATATGGACGGACATACTGATCAAGGATTTCATCTCGATATATCACACCGGTCAAAGTTCCTCCATGGAACACATGCAGGTCATTATGATCACCTAGAGAGATCCCAGCCCAAACCATCACTCCACCACATCTGTAACTATATCTTTACACAATGTGCGACTTGTTGTGTCTGGTGCGTTGTTCCCTCCAAATCAGCAGACGACCTGAATCACGCTTCAATATGACCCTGGACTCGTTGTGAAGAAAGCAGACGCCCATTGTTGACTAGTCCAGGAGACGTGATCTCCTGCCCAACATTAAACGGGCACCTGTCGTCGGGCCAAGGCTATAGAAGCAACTGGTCGTCTCGCATAAAAACCTGTACTGTGCAGGTGTCTGCGCACTGTAGTAGCTGAGATTCTTGCTCCTGTTGCCACTAAATGATCTTCCATGAGCTAAGGCATAGTAATGTTACTCCTCCTTTGGGCCGAAAGAGCTAAATAATGGTCTCTCACACATATTGTACCTCGATGTCTACCTGTAACATGTCTTCTAGACACAGAATCCTCGGATTCAAACTGATTCCCTAGTCGGTGGGACCACACTACGAGAGACATTGAAACATCTATCAGCATCAGCTAGTGACTTCCCAATTTCCTTCTATTCAATCGACCGCCATCTCAACGAATCGGACAAACGATGTCTCCTAGACACAGATAGACTCTCCTGGATATTATCAATGAAACTGCTAATAACAGTTGAAGATCAACACTCGTGAACAAAACTTACAATTTTTCCCTTTTTTCTACAACTCCAATATAAGTATTCCTGCTGCCAGACGGTATAGTGGTTAGGGGAGCCTGACTACGATACCGAGGAGCTCGAGTTCGAACCCCGGAGAAGGCATCGATGTAAAAATTGTCTGTCCCTTCATACGAGGCAAAGGTCCACCTACTGGATGCATCCATAAGAAAGAGACCACCACATCTGGCCCTTGGGAGTGGCCGATACCGACATAGGTAAGTGCCAGCCATTGGATAAAAAATATATATAAGTATTCCTTTCTATAAAATAAAAATGGTAACTGTTGTATTTGCATATATTTTCTTAAACTTCGTTACTGTCATGCATATAAACTGTGAATTTAAATGTACTGGCATTTTTGTATAAGTAATGGTGAGCCTTCAAAAACATGCTGTTCCTTAACGTTTGGAGGGCAGTGTATCATGATTACTGGCATTATATATTATTTCAGGTAGATAAGACACAACACAAAGTATAAAATTAGCCCTTTCTCAATTAAGACTTAAATTAGCATACACTTTACTTCTAATTACATTTTAATGAAATAAAATCTATGTTGTTCCATCTTTTAAAAAGTATACGTATCCAATACAATAATACTTTTCTAATTTAAAATTTCATCACTTTTTTTTCTCTGCACGGAGCTATCCAAAAATTCTTTATCATAAATAGTAGTCTAATATTATTGTTACGCAAATTTCAGAAAGTTTGCATTAGAATAAATAACTAGTTTCCGACTTTTCTCTTTCAATTTCGAAGTCATATTTACGCTGAAGAATTACACAATGAGAATGAAGATAATAACCCTTTTGTAAGTTTACGGTTTTGATATAAACATCGACATGTTTAACGCGTTTAACGATATCTTCTTAGGCACATTTTTGGGAGAATTTATCATTTTTTGTGTGTTTATGTCATCAGAGATGCATTCATCTGATTTATGTGTACCTTGTTTCGACCTTGGTTTTAGCAAATGACAACTGTTATCTAAGAACAAAAGCAGAACAATAAAAAAACAAGGCATTTCAATGTTTTAATCTGAAGTTACGAGAGCATAAATTCAAACT